AGTAATATGGATTGCAAATTTTTATCTCTTTTTTAAGCTTCTCAAGTGATGACAATACTTTAATGGACAAAAGTTGAAGTTTAAATACTTTCTCAAGATATCCTAATTTGATGTTTACTTAAATAAAGGACTAGTTGAATTGATTTGTCTAATGCTATAAGTGATAATAAAGAAGATTTCTTCTAAGATTCAAGAGAAACAAAAAGATTATTCCAATTAGGTAGATTCCTTTTGAGAGAAGAATTGCTTTCTTTTTGAACTTTTTTAGTGAAGCCTTTAAATATTTCTCTTTCTCAGTTTCTTTTTTTTATTTTTTCTTAACTTAGTAATTCATAATTATAGGCAATCTATAATAACAAATTGTTGATAATAAACCTAGTGGATAAAGGTTATTTATTAATTTTCTAGAGAAGTGAAATATTGTTTCTTAGATTTGATTTAGAGTACTTCAGTGCAATAACAAGTTATTTATTATAAAAAAAATCTATAAAATTGTAGATAATTATATAACTTCTCAATTAAGATCAAGCCATGTAATATAGTTACAGATAATAATAGGTCTCTAAAGTATTTAACATATATAATTTCACAGATCACTTAAGTTCTTTTTTGAGGGACAAAATTCATATCTTTTTACTTTAATTTAGACAAAATTCAGAAAAGGCTATAAATCAATAATTTGAATAATTGAAAACAATTATAAATAATTTTTTTATAGTTATTATTTTAAAAATTTTTATGTTTTCTAATAAGAGACATTTGATTTTTGTTTCTGCCTTCTTCTTTAGGGATCTTTTTTTTTTTTTTTTTTTTTTTTTTTTTAAGCAGGTGAAGTCATGTTATATAGTTTTTATTTAATTATCTATACTTTTTTTTATATACAAATTTAATTGTAAGAAAATATATTTATAATTGAAAAAAAACTACTGACTCAATATCTTATTGAACTCTATGACTCACTGCATTTCATCTATTGATAAATGTTAGCATGTCATGACTCTACTAACACTGAAATTTATCAAAAAGATTGTATTGATCAAGTATTCATTTTCTAGAATCTCTCTCATAGTATAGTTTATTATCTCTATGTATAATTGTTCATTGGTGTGTTGTGATCTTTCTCCCTTTTATACATTCTTACTTGCTTAATGACACTTGTTTCTTGTTCACTTCTTTTTCTTTTTCTTGATAATTTCTTGTGATTTCTTTCACTCTATAATCAGGTTATATCTTAGTTTTCAGACTTCTTTCTTCTCTTGCCAAAACTGAGCTGTTGTTGTCTTAAGAGCTGCTGTCACTACTTCCTTACTACCTGTGATTTCAACTGCAGCTTGTTTCATCTTGTAGGTGATGATCCCTCTGATAATATTTATCCATTATATCTCATTTGATCCCCTTATTTTTTCTACTTCTATTATTGATTTAAGAAATTATTTTTATTTATTATGTATTGATTTATCTTGCTTGTTATTATTGAACCTGATTGCACATTTTTCTGTGAGGAAGGACATGTACTTTTGCATGAGTCTTATCTTGTTTGATTCATATATGAGAAGGTGAAGATCTTTTTCTTCTTGCCTTTTGCAGATAATGCAGGTTGGGTCTTTATAAAAGTGTGGTCTTCGTATGTGTAAGTTTGCCAATATGGGGTATTCATTTATACATGTCTTCCAATAAAAGGATCTGTCTTTACAATTCTTTTAATCAGTTTGTAATAATATAATCTTAGATAGTATTAAAGTTTATAGGATTATGTTTCAGTTCATTTTCTTGAATTTGAAATCTGGAGTTATTTATGTGTCTATCTCAGTGTTTTCCATTTACTTGTCCATTTGATTTTGAGAAGTATTTTCTCTAGTGTTTTGAAGGAAATGTTCATGAAAAATTGATCTTAGGAATCTATTTTTAGTTACAGGTTAAAAAAAAAAATAATAATATTGATAAATTAAATTTTATAACTTTAAGTTAAAATTAATTTAATATTAATAATTATAAATAATAAATAGCATTTAATTTAGATAGTAAGTATTATATAAAATAATATAACTTATATTAATAAAAATGAATTTTAATATTATTTTTATACTAAAAACTATTTGTTATATAACAAAATATCTAATACTTTTGATAACAATAATCTATTTTTAAAACTTAATATTATTAAGTAAAAAAAATCAATTTTATAAAAGAATTGTTATAATTAAATAATAAATTTATTACAATATATAATTTAATATATAAAATAAAATTAATCTTATATTAATTATATAATTATCTTATTAAAGCTTATATTAAAGTGAACAAAGTTATATAATTAATAATACTAATCCTAAATATTTAAAAATATAAAATATTGTATTAATGCTTATAGTCTATATCTATTATAAGACAAATTTAGGATTTTTGAATTTCTATATTCAATTATAGTTAATAATTTCTTCTTCAAAATAGAAATTAATATTGTGAAACCTTTTACAATTTCAAGCAAAAAAAATAAATATATTATTATTGCAACTGATTATTTATTAAATAACTTGAAATTGAAGCAATTTTTTATATTATAAATAATAAATTATAGATTTTATTTATTAAGAATTATTTGATAAACATATATTTTTTAACTATAATTAAAATTTTATTAAAAATTTTTTAAATATATTATCTCCATTCTATCTTATACTACCTATAAACAAATGAACTAGTGAAATATAGTACTTAAATAAGATATTATATAAATCTTTGATAAAAATAATTAAAAAAAGAAACTGAAATAAATTTACTATATCAAAATAATCTTTTATGAATCAATATTCTTTTATCTTGTTTATGGTTATAATTCTTAAATATTTTATGTAGTAATAGATAAAGTAATAGAAGAAAATATTTTGATTTATCTTTATTAATTAATTAAAACCTTATTTATTGTCAAAAAATTGTTTAAAAAATATTTTAAAAACTTAAAAAAAATAAAAAAAGAGTTTGACTAAGTTAATTGAAATTAAATTTTATAGATAAAAAATATAAAATAAAATCTTTTATTTTAAGAACTTAAAATTATAAGTTTTTTAAATAGCAAATAGTTTTAATAATCAATAAATAAAATTTTTAATAGAAATAAATAAAATATTTTTTAAAAAAAAATAATAATTAATATAATATTATTATAAAAATTAAATAATAAACAAATAAATTATTATATATGATTAAAATTAAAAGATTATCTTCTGATTAGATTTATTGATTATCCTGTAAAAGTTATATCCAATTATTTAAAACAAAATTAAATCAAATTAAATTGTTTAAAGATGTAACTTCTTATTTTTTATTGATTAGAGATTGAGAATTATAGTCTTACTATCAAAAGGATTGTATGAAGAAAGGTTTTTGGTTTAGCTTATGATATATATCTTAAAACTCTTCTACTTTAATAAACTTTAGAACTTTGCATTTTTAACTTAGAATATTTTAATTTAATACTTTGTTTAATTTAAAGTTAGTTGATAAAGAATTGATCTAATATTTTAAATGATAACAAAGAAGATAATATACCCTCTTTTAAGATTTAAGTAAATAATATTTAGATGTATTGAAGAATATATAAAAATCTATTGAATACATATATAGTCATATTAGTTTAATAAATTATATCAAAAATTTTAAGCTCAATATTAACCAACTAAAATTCATCATTAATAACTAAGTATTTGATTATTTAATTTCTAGTTGAGTCTATCTACTCTTGAAGTATAAACTGGTTTAGCTAGATCAGTCATGATAGATTATTATTAATTTATTTGTATATGGAAATATATAATATACAGTATATGGAATGATTAATATACTGATTATAATATAATATTAATAAAATAGTGTATCTAATACTTAGTAAAAATAATAATTATAATAAACAAATAAATTTATTTTTAAGTAAAATACTTAATTTGATTTTTTTTTTTTTAATCTTAAATAAAAAATACATAAATTAGATTTTATTTAAATTATTAAAAATTAAAAAAAAAAATCTTTTTTTTTTGAAAAAGTTTATAATTAAGAAATATGAAGATTTTATTAATTTTTTATAAATATATTTTTTAATATATAATTATATAATTAAAGGATTATAAAAAAGTTATTTAAAAATCAAAATCTTAATTCAATATTATATTGAACAATTAAAAGAAATAATATATAAATTTATTAAAAAATATTGATAATTTCTTTATAGACATTAAATTAAATTTAAAAATTTGAAATTTAATGAATTTAAATCATGATTTTAGAATCAAAAAGTTACATGAATAAACAGAATATAATAATAGCAACACTGTTTCCTTGTCTGGTGAAATTTTACTGGTCCTTGCTTTCATCGGTGGAACAAACATTGTTTCAACAAGATTGCACAATTGCACGATTGCACGATTGCACGAAAACGTACCGTTTGTAGGGACAGAAATATCCTTTTACAACGTAACGACCTCACATACTGCGCATGATATTTCAATAGAGTCTATGGCGTCTATATTTGAGAAAGATAATGTTGGTTCACAAAGTTCGTTTTGTGAGATTTACCTTGGCATTAAAATTGTGAGGATGCATTCTAAATATATCTCGTCCGTTATGACAATATGAGACATTGATGAAACAACAATCATAACAACGTTTGGGGTCATTTTCCAAATACATTGCCAAAACATGATGCAAATGTTGAACTCTAGTCTTATATGTTATTGTACCGTCCACTCAAATAATGACATACGTATTTGTTTTTTCTTTTTTTTGAAGATCTGTTTCCATCAACAATGGTCATAAGTACAATGTTCGTATAAGCCACAGTGATTGTGTACGTACATACCCGATGTATATTTAACTATGGCTTAAATTACAGAATTGTCAAAAACTAATATAAAGAGGTTTTTATAGCATCGAGGTTCTTCAGAAAAAAAAAAAGAAAGAAAAACTATTCAATTATTTTAGATAAATCAACATCCTAGAAATCAATCATGCAAACTTGTGATATTTTTTGTTCTGCTGCCAGCTCAGAATTAGTCTTTAGACGAAGCTACCTAGGTCCTCTTTTGACAACAAAAGAATCAACAGCAGTGGATCTTAAGGAATCTCCCTTAAAGTCAGTTCATTCTCGACGAATTTCCAGTGACTCGATGCTATCCAACGATTCTGGAATCGGATTCATCGATGCAGATTATGAAATACAACGAGCAATAAGAGCGCAAAGGGTTCAGCGCCCCCGTATAATCGTGTTACATAAAGGAAGGCCCGTATGTCAAAATCACAAAGATAACGACGCTAATTTGGTACTTAAAGCAGCCATGGCATCAAGGCGTCACCGAAGGGAGGTGGCTGTCATGCAACAAAGAAATACACAGATTTTCGGAGATGAAAAAAATGATGCGTCGCCATTTAAGTCGAATAATACGATAGATATTTCACCAGAAAATGATAACTCAAGCGGCAAGATCAATATCTTGGAAGATAATAATACTTCCGAATTTGGAACAAAATCCGTAATTTGTGAAGAAACCACGAGGGAGTCTATTATTTTAAAAGACGATTCAAAAAAAACTTATTCTTTTGCGGAGTCTAAATTAGACAAGATCCCAGAACCCAAAGAACAAACGTCAAATAGTTTCGTTCCAGAAGAAAGCATAAACACACCTCGGATTCCGTCAATTTTAAAATGTGGCAATTCGTTCACAAAAAAAATAACAAAGTCCCTAAAAAAATTCTTCGGACTTGAAAAAGGACGAAAAAATAGCGTAGTATCTCTCCATAAATTACTTAAAAGAATTCTTTAAGATGTTTAAGAAAAAATAATTATTTCATTAACACCCATATGAATTAATAGATATTTTATGGAGAATATAGTGTTGCTAATATGTAAATAGATAATAATCTTAGACTGACGAAAAATTCCTCGGTTAGGAATTATGCAAGAAAAATTCATATACAATATAAGAGAAAAGAACCTTATTTTAATAAATTAATAGACCAATGCACTCATTTCATTAAGTTCAATTTTGAATTCGCACATTGTAAACTGTAAAAATATTTTTATTCTTCTAAACTTTATACTGGCTTCGTGAAATATTGCCGTATAGTGCTTTATAAAATACCTCATCGAATAATATACTAATCAATCACGTGTAGGCCAGCATTATGAATAGTTTTGGTCGGAATTATGAAATTTAGCCTAAGCGAGTATTGAAATGAAATTTTCTAGTATATGGGTACAATGATCACAGTGATGTAACTTCTATATAATCGCATTTTTATTATTGATTGATCGACACATGTGACAAATCAAATATTCTATATATAGGTGATTATCACGAAATCATAAATTATAAACTATAATGTCAGTCGAAATTACAAACATAAAGCCGGTCGAAATTACAAATTATAATATTGGCTAAAATTACAAACAATAATGCTGGTCAAAATTACAAACTATAATGTTAAAAGTAAAATAATCTTATACAGTATATAATAATTAACCTAAGGAAATACTTTGTATGTTATGTATTCAAAAAAAAAAAAAATAAATCCTGATCTATTGCTAATACAAGTGCTTGTGCTAGATTAGTATTACAGATCAAGATAATTTTTGAACTAATTTCTAATTACTATTTTTAGTAATAGCATATTTATTATTATGGGTTAATTCAATAAGTCCATCACCAAATTTTTTTTTTTTTTAATCTGCAGTCAGGTCAGCATAGCATGTCTTTATTGTATATATGTTAGGTATTTACAAATTGTTATGACTGTCACATACTGACTTACTCGTCATTGAAAAGTTATTTCTCTAAATACAATCTAGGGAATGATATTTCACTTCTTTACTAATTTGAATAAATCCTCCAATTAATAAAATTATTGCCTACAGGTTATTACTGTAGATCATTCTAAGTTCTGTCTGCAGTTAAAAACCAAACCACTTTATTCCATGACAAACCCAATCCTTAATAATCGCTGTATACTTTTTTTCTTCTATTTCTTTGATGTCCTCCAGGTTCGAATCTTTTGGAGATAATAGCAATTTTTTTTAGTCCTGTTTAGTCTATTTATCAGGTCTGATCTTGGGCCTCTTGTTTCTTTTGTCCTCTTCTGTAATATTTTGCTTCTTTTTCCATTCTATAACTTTGGCACAACATGTATTCCAGATCTCCTTTTTAAAATTGACTCTCATCTTTTGACAAACGTTACTGATTATATCCTATGTGTTTACTGATGGGATCTTGAGCTGCTCTTGGAGATACTTCTTCAAGGAGATGATCTTGTTTTCTTCCATATATCCACAGATGATATTGAAAAGACCCCTGTTAGATTCCTGAATCTCTTCTAACCATTTGTCTATCTAGTCACTTATTTTAGGTTGAACTTCTTTCTTATGTTTAATTTCTTTACCGATAAGTTTATTAATCTTTTTGTTTGCCTTCTACTATAAGTTCCTCTGAGTTTCTCTAGTGGTTGAGTATTCAAAAAAATGTTCTAGTGTCTCTTCTTGAAGTTCACATACTGGGCAAGTGGTTGTGATATATACTTCTGATTTTCTCTTCTTAAGTATCTATATGACTGAAAGTTTATTGTGAGTTAAATTAACCAATAAAGTATTGTTTAACCATGACCAATCAAAATTTTAATTAATAAATTATTATGTTAACATTTTGATGATTACTTTTTCAAAGCAAAGTACTTTATTTTTTAAGCAAGCTAATAATATTTATAATCATGAAGTTATTCTTGAATAGTAATGAAGATTTGTATGTAGTCATAAAGTGACATAATTTCTTGGGATTTGTGTTATATAAGTTACTAAGATTCTTCACAATTTCCTTAATGTCAATATCAAATAAAAGACAAGAAACATGTAATATGTTTCAAAACATTATTTTAGATAAAACTTCCAGTAAAAAAGGAGAATGTAATAAAAGTTCTTTGCAGACCTCTGAAAAGACATCAAGTTCTTCAAAGTCTCATGATCATGTTGAAATCCTGGAAAAAATGCCTCCACTCAATGTAGATAAAGACATTCCTCACAAGCATTCACAAATCTCCAGAAGTATCCACGAAACTGTGTTACACCTGACTTGGATGTATGAAGGAACTTCAGGTATATTAAAAAAATATAGTAAATATAGAAATAAATATCAACTATTTGTTTAGATCATGATAGGTTTCTTGAGAGAATTTTGGAGTCCAACGAAGCCCTCTATAAGAAAATGGATCAGTTGCTAGAATGGCAAAAAAGTGTAGAGGAAAAGGTCACCCACCTCGAAAATAAAATTTACGTGAGTACATATTTAATTACTGAACAAGAATTTATTGACGTAAGTTATAAGTTAAAGATATTTAGAGAACTTCAATAATATATTTGCTATTTTATTAGAAGGTGGTTAAGGAAATTGCGAAAGAATTATTTAAAGAAAAAATATACGTGGAATCTGAAGACTTTCACAAGCAAATCAAAGAATTTTTCCAGAGAAAACAATCAGAGTTTTATGAATGACTTTTAAGAAAACATACTATAAAAAGTATATTCGCCAAGAAGTAAGTTCAATAAATCATATGTATTTATTTTTAATTATTAACGCTCTAATTTTATTTAATAGCTTATCAAGCAATACAGATCTATCCATAGGACTATGGCTTCGAAGATTTATGACACCATTTTTTCAGTTTTTGGTGAAGGATCACTTGATATAATCAACACCAGTGCATCAGCCGCTGAAATTATGACATGGAAGTAGTTACACAAGGCAGCTGAATGTTACAATAATTTTCACAAACTTTCGGAAAGAAAGAATTAGAGCATAATGGCACACATTCTCGAAAAAGTTTGACCTAGAAGAGACCTCTTCATCGAACAAATGGCATTTGCTATCGCAATTTGCCAATCTATTCTAAATCCATATAATGAAATAATTATTATAAATGAAGCAGTTCTAAAAGTAAAAATTAAGAAATATAAGGTAAGCTTCGAAGTTTTTTGAATGTCTTTGAAAATATAAAACATTTACTAATATATATTTTTAGGAAAAAATTATAAGAGGAATCGGATTCACAAAAGGAGATTATAGCGATGAAGACAGATCTGATGACAAACTAATAAGTGATAATAGTAAAATAGAAGTTCTAAAAACTTCGAAGATAACTGAAAATAATGAAAATGATCCGGTGTTAATCGTTGAAAATTTATCATTGAAGAGGTATTCTTTGGCAATGAGCTTAACAAAAGAATGAATATATAATGCAAAATAAATTTAATAAATTATCTTTAAATATAAATAAATATTTGTAATACAATTTTTAATAATATATAAATATAATTTAATGTAAACGTATTTTATTATTTTTAAAATCAGCAAAAATCTTCAGAGATTATATTAAAATTTTTTAATAAATCTCCAGAGATTTTTGAAAAATTTTTTTGATTATCTCCGGAAATTATATATATAACTTTTACTCCGGAGACTTCTAACAATGCCGAAAGTCTTCCGGAGATTTACGCCTGAAGATCTCTGGAGATCTTTGCTTAAAAAATTTCCTGATAAAGGAATTGGTACCAACAAGCTATAGACAACTCTCAGAAACTGGATCCTGGAAGTAATCTATTTACACATCAAACAGTACAAAGAGAGGAAAAGGAAATAGCACAAACCCATTCCAAACATCAAGTCCATATTACTCCTTCAACTCAACAAATTCAGGAAACAACTCAGTCATCTTAAAAAAAATTTCACTCTCTTTAATCTCAATAGAATAACAACAATCTATAACAACATCAAGGAGCAAATTTCCATCGAATCAATAGATAAAAACATCAATTTCAAGTTACTAATCAAAGAAATTGATCAGTGGACCATAATAGAAAAAAACAGGTACAAAAAAGCAACATGTGAAAAAATTAAAGCAGATATTAAACTCTTAAAGCTAAGATGACAAAACTGATTTTATACTGATAAAAAACAAATTATTAGATCATTACTCAACCAATCCAAACATAGCATTATAACCACAAAACTAATCACAGGCAAGGAAGAAGACAGAGAAGTCATCACAGACCCTAAAGAAATTAAACAAACCATCCATATTCACTTTCAAGAATGAACCAAACACAGAGACATACAAGAAATAGCTGGTAGTAACTGGGAAACTGAATACCTCCCAAAGGAACACACAGATCAAAAATGGTTCACATTGACACCAAAGCCTTTTACAACAGAGAAAATTCAAGCAATTGTCAACAAATGCAATAACAAATCAGTATCCAGGCTATCCAACATTCCTTATCTAGCCTTCAAGCATCTATACAAGGACACTATTCAAAATATCACACCCTTCTTTAACATTATACACTCCAGAAAAGAGATCTCTATAGAATAGAAGAAAGGTACCTTATACCCCATTCCCAAATCCAAAGACTGGAAGCATAATATCAATATTACTTAATTTATTACCCTACTCGAATTCATTAAAAAGATTTTTATAAAAGTACTCACCAATAGACTCACAAAAGTCTTATCAGAACACAAGATCCTCGCTAAACAAAACTGGACTGCACTTTCTCACTAGAGCACTAGAGAACCAATTAGCATAATTAACAATATTCTGAAAAATACAAGAGAATTCATTAGTCCTTGCTATATGCTCTTTCAAGATATGAGTAAAGTATATGATACAGTCAACATTGAGCACCTCAACACAGCCTTACAGAAAATTAAAGTACCAAAAAAACCAATTAATATTATCCCCAACTG